ATCTATTTCTTACACTAGATACCAGCCGATACAAATTCAAGCAGGATGTTCATATATCACACGTTTTTAGTGGTCAAATCAGTAATAATTTGCTATTATTTAGGGTTTTATATCAGATAACATTCGTAAAAGATACTTACCACCAATGTTCTCAGGCACAGAGTCCCCGCTGGTGCTCTCGGATCAAGGGCAGCCTGTAAATCCCACACTTTTATTTTTCTGTCAATAATAAAATGCTATAAATTAATTTTTGTGCCAAATAAGCTGCTGCTCAGAAAAATTGTTAATTTTGTAGCTGTGAACATTTTCATTGGCAAGATACAGCGACTCTGTTTCCCACAATTTCAACCCACAGTGTCATCAAATTATCACGAAAAGTAACAGTTGCAAAAATGTAACTGTTCATTGAATGATACACAGGTACATGACACTACTTACCCGTCATATGCACCACTGACAATTCTCTTGTTATCAAAACGAATACATCTTACTAATTCTTCATGGCCTTCTAACACTCGTAAACAAGCCCCACATTCAATATCCCATAACCTACAAACGATGTACAAAATATATTAGAAACAAGCCATGCATGGCACAGTCCCCGTTAGTTATCAAATTTAAGATATAAAGTTTTGTTTATAGTAGTATAGCTGGAATATAAACATGTCAGGAATATGATGATTGTTTAACATTTAAATGATTGAGATTTGTATCTGATCGTCAAATGAGTATTGAGAGATATTGCTCTGGAACAGCATTAATTAAAACAAAATCAGCCATTATGAATATATGTATAATGAATATATGAAATTTGAACATAGTCGGTCAAAACAAGTCAGACATATGGCTCTAGAAGCCCATTCATTAAAACAAAATGGCCACCGGACAGCCATTTTAAGTCTGATCTGAACAAGTCATTGTCAATGACACGTCCCCGTTCCGTTCATATTTGAGTGACAGATACATTCAAAGCAGATCATGACCGAAATGCACCTGCATATGTACAACACATTGTGCTAAATCCGAACAAAATCCATCCATGCATGACTGAGATCCGGTTCTGGAATTGTGAAAATACATGATTTTGATGCATTTT